TAATTTTTATTTACTCCAGCTGCTCGGTGCCGCCTTGATTGTAACTTAAGATAAACGGAAAATAGCCACATTATTATTTATTTTGAACGCAAATTTAAACATTTGTATATACGAGATAAAAACATCATTGTAAATTAAAAATAATRTAGGTAATCTAAATAATAGTAAAAGGATTCGGTAACCATTACTCATCAGTTGATTGTATATACATATTTAAAGGATAATTGGGCATTAAGAGGACGTGATACCCGCATATGTTGTCTCTGTCTTACAAGTGCATTTTATATGGTAAATTTTACGTTCAGCAGAACACGTGTAGCTCCGTTTGCTTAAAAATTAGAGTGAATTGACCTCTAATAAAATTTAAAGGTATGATTGTTATCTAGACAACCTCATATGCTTTTTATTTTATTTAAATTTTAAAGGAAGTTATGATTATTTTAAGATGCACAAAAAATTTACAATTTTAAAATACTCATAACTCGCTTTAAATTTAATATAAAATAAAAAGCATATGAGGTTGTCTAGATAATAATCTTATCTTTAAATTTTATAAGAGGTCAATTCACTCTAATTTTTAAGCAAACGGAGCTACACGTGTTCTGCTGAGCGAAAAATGTACCATGTTACGCATTTGTAAGACAGAGACAACACATGCGGGTATCACGTCCTCTTAAGTACGTTTTACCATTCCACAAACTACTACTTAATATGAGACACTTGTATATTTAAATATTTGCCCCGCGTAAAACGAGTATTTTTCAAGGTAGTTTCAAATAGGTTGACAAAACTTTTTGAATTTCATAAAAAAGAATATTTTTGTTTACTAACGGCAATTTTCAATACTGAATTGTCTCCTCAGACAGGAAGTATTATTATACATTTAAACGTAAGTAATTATTATTATTCAAACATTGGAGTTACTTAATCTGCACGGATACTGCACAGATGAATTACACCAGACACTATACTTCATAATATAAATTGTATACYAACTCAAATTTACATAAAAATATATAATTTACTATAAATAACTAAATACTACCTAACGTTTTCAAATTCATAGATTATATATCGTTCGAATTTAGCTCTTCGAAGTTATGATAAAAATAKTAGATATTAATTTTTAAAAAACAATTAACAGTTTCGATACACTTACTATTTACTAATGTTCTATAAAATAAAATCAAACTGCATCTACGGCACCAATTTTGGTACAGTAAATTATACTTAAAGCAAATATTGTAGCCTAAATTTTGGTTACATGATCGATTACATTATGACTTAAGCATTACTAATATTTTTCAATAACAGATTGTTTGAATAATAACGGTCGAACAACAATTCGTTTTTATGAGCGTTATGGAAAGAAAAAAGCCATTAATATTATTTCATTTCATTATATATATATGTTAGATACATTATAATATATAAACGTATCGAATTCCAAAGCACATATTATATATTATTATACTTCAAAAACCAACAGTCATCGTGTGCACGCGTAGAGATGTTTTGAACGAAATAAAAGGGAAAAATGACTGAGTTATTTTTTCCGACACAATAWCAAATAGGTATTTTACAGTTTATCGTATACACCTACACGGTCCACCGACATTTTGTGACCAAAACATTCGAAACAGATTAAAAAGTCGCGTCTTTGGAACAGAGAGCAAGTCATTTGATAGCATGAATTGCTACAAATAAAATAATTTGCACCTATTTTGTTGTAAGACATAGTCTATGGACTGCCAAAAATCTAATTAAAGCACCGATATTATATGTATTTTAAAGCTGGGTACTGAGTGACTTTTTTTAGTTTTCAAAATTTAAAATTAATTTATCTTGTTATCCATGAGTCCCAACCGTTGACCAACTACTAAACTGCCAAGAAAAAATCGAAACAGTAGTCAGTTAATTATAATTATTAATTAACCATAMATTATTATTTTATTATAAAGAACAAAAAATAATAATATAAATATGATCGTTCAATATTGTCGTACCAATTATTTGTACTGTTAAAACTATAAATATATCGAATATATTGTGGCCTGATAATGATTTTAAAATGGATCGTGAAAATGTTGACGCTAACAATGAAAATAAAACCAAGCCCATTTGYAAGGCGACGTGGACAGTAATAAAGTTATCTCGACACGAAAATGACCCATCCGTTATCGGGACGAAAAATTCGGCGATGTAACACACGTGGACTGACCGATCTTATACCGCGTWAAAGCACACGTATATAGTGTAGGACAGAAAAAAAAACAACAAACCTCATCCGAATTTTTTTATTATTATTATTAATACCGTYGACCGTCTCTCTACGTACACGTATTGTACGTATATCATACACACATAAGTATACATTATAATATATTGTGTATAATATAATCGTTCTCACGCCGCGTGCGTTTCGTAACGACGACTAGACACCGMATAGAGCGACGGGCGGCGGCGGCGGCGATTTACTCGGTTGTTAATATTATAATAGCGTACGGGCGACGGACGAACGGACCGAGAGAAGAGAGCTCGAGTTCGGGTCAATCACGTCCGATTACAGGCAACGAGGTGCGGAGTACGCGCTAGACCGAACGTGTGCGTCGTGTATATATATGTTTATGTGTGTATATGCACGCGTGTGTGCGCGAGCGCGCGTAAGTAACGTGGTTAGGGCCGGGGCTCCTCCGGTTGTCGGAAGTCCGGCAACACCGTCCACACGTACGCACACGCACACACAATAGCAGGCTGTATAGTAAGTGGCCGGCGCGCCGTGGCGGTTGTTCTTCTTCAAGGCTATGTTATACCGGAGCTCCTAATGCCGCCACCGCCGCCGCCGCGTCGTCGTCGTCGTACACGGCGCGCGCGTTCTCTCTCAACAGGTATGCCACACCTCGCGCGCGCGCTCGTCCAGTCCGTCGGGCCGATCCGAAAAACCAGTGTCGTCCACCCCGACGCACCAGTACTACACACATAAACACACACACACTCATATGCACTCAAACACATATACGACTCGCATTGATACGAACGGACGACGACGCGACGGCGGCAGGCAAACCAGTTTTCGACCCATACGACTCACGCGCGGTGACGGCGGCGGCTATCTTGGTGGGAGCGCTCGCGGCGGCGGCCGCAACGCGCCCGCGCGTGTGTGTGTCAAGCGCCGCCGAAGCCGCCGCCCCGCCCGTCACCGGTGGCCCCTTGTCATCGGCAAATTACCCGCCTTGTTTGTAGCCCGCGATACCGAACGCGTCCGTCGTAACCGCATTAACCAGACTCGGGCGCGCGCTCACGCGCTGGGCACACACACACATACACGTCACACACACGATAACATACGCACACACTTACACGGGTTGACCCGCCGCCGACGACGACTATGACGCCGTTGTTGTTTCAACCGCCGCCGCCGCCGCCGTGCTGCTGTTGCCACCGCCGGTTTAAATAAAATTACCGCCGTTCTCGTTAAATATAATTATTGTAATTTTTAATGATTCCGAAGAACACACAAACAGAGACGGTGTTATTATGTTTGACGCGAATTAACTGTCGTCGTCGCCTATCGCTTGCTATATTATTATTATTTATAGTGGCAATGCAGTAGTAATACTAATAAATACTACTACTACATACTATAACTAWATTAATCGTAGTAGAAATATTACTACTTTACTAGTATGAATAGTAGAAGTGGTGTTAACTACGTACACACGTCGTCAATACAAGTGTTATTAATTCCACCGATAGCGCGAGGCCGCGATGTAAAGAAACATTGGGCATACAACACGACGTCGTGTTTGSCTTTGCCGAAAGACAAAATGTCTTAATAAAAAATGTTATATTGTCTAACCACCTACCTCTGTCGCGACACAAATTTCGGTTTACAYAAAATGTTAACTTTAAAATCCTGGCGCGATGTAAACAATTATAGTTACGCGTCTTCCGATATTTCGAAACTCGAATAAATATTTATTCGTTTAAAGTTAAAACCATATGMTTTACATCGATTTATTATACGCGTACATGGAAAATCTATGTATAATATACTGTGTAAATAAATCAATGTACATCTCCAGTCGTAATATAGTGTCACATAGAAACTGTATTTGTTGTTTCGGTCAAAGAAACTCAATAATATCCTGTTGTTTACAATTGTTACTATCATTACAATTTCATGTTGTTTTTAACCATTCTATTTAGTATATAAAATTTTTGTGAACAAATAAAAAGAAACGAGTACCTAATACGAGACTTCAGTATACTGTTAAGCTTTTCAATAACTATACATAATAGTTGGTGTTACATCTATGGGCACTTGATCTATTTAATGAACTCAAATTGAATTTCTTATAGGTGATTTGAGATATATTATTATTATATTCTACCGATATGATTAATTAAGAAATATCTGTTTATTTAAAAATCTTAAGGCATTTATTGCTTAGCATTAAACATATATAATTCTTGCGTAAACCCAGTAAAATATTTTTCCCAGTATAGCAAAAAATATCGAAGGGCGTCGGCCTCTTGTTGAGTCAAAACTTCTGGTTATGCCTACACAACATTTTACACAGTTCAGTGAATTTTTACAATCCATTAAGACGAACATATCTGTACAAGCAATTTCATCAAAATTTTTCAATAGTTTACCTACCATAACATTCATAACAAKCCACAAAAGAAATGAAAGGTGCAAAGATAGATGATAAAAGACTACATGACTACACATCAAACTCCGCAACCTCCCTTAAAAAGTACGGAACATACAAATATTGGCAGGTTCCTCTCTGTCTACCTACTATACCAATCAACAACATGACAGTTTACTTAAACTATAATAACTTATATTATAGGAGAAATTATTTTAATACATATACGAATTGATTTATAATGTGAAGTATGGATAATTTATTATACATAATAATAAACCAATTCGTAAACTTACTTGTGTACACTTACAATACATTTAAATATCAAAATTTAAGACTTACCATTGACACAGACGTAGTGCCATTAGCGTAGGGCGATGGATAAGGTGCAACGAGATAGCCCATGTTGAAAGCAGGTGGATGGGGAGTTGGACCTGGTTTACCTGAAACAAACAAATATTATCTTTAATCTATTGAAAATAAGATCACCCCATCAGATATGAAACATTAATATATTGAAAGAATATAGTGAACATACCATTTATTGCCAATTATATTTTTGGCATCAAAAGATTTTATTATATTGTATTGTTATAGTATTATAACAAAATATATCTAAGACAAGCCTACCCCAAGTACTTTTCTTTTATTATCTCAGTAAGCAGATTGTATTTTCATAACCCATTTCATACTTAAAAACGAAGCAACATCTTCAAAAAAACAAAAAATATATATATTCTTTGATTTTATTAACCATATAGTATTTCATAATAGCAAATTAATAACAAATAACAATATTTATAAGTTAACTTATTAGTTAAATTATTATCTTATGGWCAATGATTATTATCAACTAAGTGAAAAAAAAAATATTAGCAAAATGTGTAATAATTACATTTAAAAAAAAATGTACATAATATGTAAAAAACACGTGAAGTTATGAACCAAATTATCGTTAAGAGTATACGATGAGAGCACACACTTTACTTTGTTTGAATAGYGCGCGATGGTTATGCGTTAACACGAATATAGTGAGTTAATAATTTTTCTAAAAACGAGAAAAAATATAGAACAGTTGCTGGATGCTGTCAACACTGAAAACAAGAAATGTGGACACTAGCCGTTAACTATATTATATTTGAATACGTGACCGCCTCATTATKTTTGAGTTGCGTATTAATTGTATAATGTTATATTATTATAATCATTAATCAAAAATTTAATTTTAAAATCTCATACRCTTCAGTTTGCGAGGATCAAGTGATCCTTGAAAAATTTAAGTATAACCAATACATAAATATTATACAACTATACTCATTACACGTACTTTGATCTATACTGTTTTAAAAAAAAAAAAATGAAATATTAAAAAAATGTATTTTCATTGATTTACATAAAGAAATATTATTAGGAATATTTTATGTTTTTCTTAATCTAACCTTAATATTTATTTATTGATGATTCGTGACAAAAATATTTCAAGACTAAAAATAATGACTAAACCAAATAATATTTAAAACACTAAATTCTAATTATAGTATGGATCGAATAACTAAATAAAATATGATGATACAGAAAGGGTCCACAAAATGTTAGTTGCGGTCATTTTTACGACATAAACATAAATACAATATTATTCTACAGAAAAATTAAAATCTTAAAATAAGAATACTATTTCGTGGTCAAATAAAGAAAAGAAACAGAATACAAATGAAACGTTTTTGTGAGTATGCACTATATAATTTAAATTCATGACAATAATTCATAATTAAATATCAAAACTAATAATAATATAAGACGTGAGATTTAAGCATTTAGTTTAATATTGCAAAATACTTAACATAATAATATGATATACATATTATTATGAGAACTCTAGAAGAAGTATTATAATATTATGAGTCAGAATATAATGGTGGTCAATGGTCATTGGATGGTTTAAGATTTTTAATTTGTGTAATTGACTGATAACAGCAACAGGTTCACCTTTGCCGCTTTGTTTAAGTGATAAAATAAAATTATAGGACTTTGTATGACTCGTAAAAAATGTTTGTAGAAGCAACACTGAAAACCAAGCTTTTTTTTTTTAAATAAAACTCTTTCATTTGTGGATTATGTATATTTTGTAACCCATAGATTTAAAATGGTTTTAAGACCAAATGTTTAACAATTGATACACAATAAAATGCGAACCCAACACGAGCTGGTTGGTATAATCATCATACATAATATACGATATTTTTCTGAGAAACAAGATTTACGCAGTGATTTAAAACAATAAATAATTATGTTCATAAGTGATACTACGGTTCAGTAGTTAAAATATGTTACCGTAAGTAGTAAAGCAGCAACTGGAAAAAAGTTTACACATTGCACATATTATATTATACATTATACCGATACATGTATACAAGAATATTTAACTCGTTCTAATAAAGAAGTTAATTAAAATAGCATATCGACTATCAAATATAAATAATTAATATGATTACATAACACGCCAAATCCATATATCCTTAGTTACAATATTTAAAACAAAACAATTTTAATATTCACTACTAATATAAACTATACACAAATAATTCTAAAATTCTAGAATCGTTTAGAATTTATCATGTAGRGATCAGGCACCCAACAATATAAAAACTGTTGTACACTTTGACATTTCAATTCGGGTGTGTCGTTTTTTTCTTCTTTTAGTCGTAAACGCTGTGACTTTTAAATTTTAATAAAGTGATGAAACCAACAAAGTTATTTAAAAAAAACTGCTTACTGTGGTCGTGTGTACATTATTAAAATACGTCATAATATTAGCATTTAATGTTTATAATATATAATATTATTGCGTATGTTCGCGCGGTGATACCGATCGGCAAGACCCGACGACGACGGATATTATTATATGTTGATGTTTTAYGACCGTCAACGACTAGACACGCAAGGAAAAAACCCTTTTATGATAGCCGCTCGCTCGAGTTTCTAAATATTATACCTATAATGTTTACGATTTTTACCCAAACTCGACTTCTCAGTACGGCAGCCACCGTCATCTCCGGTTTGCATACTCATACACTCACACCATAGCCTTACAAGTAATAATGATAATGATAATAAYAAAATGCATAATAATAAGCCGGCTGCTACGTCGTGTGACGTCGTCGGGAGAGACCATATGATAAACACGGCGCGTCACCCACCGTGCGTGAGGCATAATATAATAAATCTCCGAAGATTCTCCTCTCGCGTCCTCACGATCAGTCTCTCTCTCTCACACACACACACACAAACACATCGGCAACGTCGCAACGACGGCGACGGTTATCCTCTCTCGCGTGCAGTAGTCGTGTACAGTTTTGGTTAACGAGCATCGCTTGAGAGATAGCACTGGCACACAGAGCACACTCACACACGGCTAACAAAGATTCGTCGTCGTCGTCGTCGTCGCCACCGCCAGGTTTACGACGATGGTGCGCGGGAGGCGAGCTGGTTGGGAGGGGGTGCGAAGAAAGCGTAAGAACCTACTGAGGACAGGGGCGGACGTGCGGCGGGGGGAGGGAGTYCGGTGTCAAAAAACAAAACGAGCCTCGTTTAGGAAGCCTTGCGGGACCCCGCCCCGAGACATGCGCGGAGCCCTGCCCAGAGTCTACTATGGCTGTGCTTCACATTGCTCATATATATATATATATTCGTTATATACTTTATATACTTGTATAGGCATATAGATGATATATATTGTACGTGTATGTATATTGTATATTATATACCTAGGCATACATATAAATATATACAGACACGTACGTAAGTACACATGCACGCGCTGGAGAATTATTACGGCCACAGCGTCGTCAGCTCACGGGTTATTATAATGCGTTCGGTTCGACCACCTCTTTTATTCTTTTATTGTTGTTATTGTTGTTATTATTATTATATTATTGTTATTAGCTATTCTGTCATTATGCGCGCTTCTCCTCGGTGGACAATATAACATTCAAGGTCGAATACGGCTGTTTAAATGTGGAGTATACATACGAAAGGCGTAAGGCTGTGAGCCTGTGGACTAAACATACATACTAATAAAATGTACAGAATACAGAGGAAACACGAAAGAGTGCCAGGGTTTCGAGATTTATACAACATATTATATTATTTTTTTGCGTCGACGACCCCCACCACGTCTACTGCTCCTGCTACCACCGCCACCACCAACCCCACCCCCATCGTCACCACCCAGAATGACATTCTTTCGGTCAGATTCTGAGAACCGCCACCCGTCGAGTGTGTTCAACAYATGTTTGGTGTGCACGTTACCTGTGCAGCGAGAATAAGATTTGGGTATACATTTTTTCTCGCTCAAAATTAATACACACACACACACACAACAACGATCACGCCACGTGGTGTAATTTTTTTGTTTAAATACAATCCACCACGCAATAAGCCGTTTGGTTTTTGTCTGACGGGTCCCTGCGCGCGGGTATTGTATGCGCTATAATATTAAATGTGTACGTTTTTCCCTCTCTGCGAATGAATGACGCGTCGTTTTGTTTATTAAATTTATTGTTTGTTATACACGCACCGGTCTCGTTAATGTACCGCGATAAATTAYGCACGGTCTTTATAAATATATGAAAATAATGTAAATTTACACCGGTTCAGACTGCGCGCGCGCAATCTCGCCTGATCGAAACGTGTGGGACGAAGAAGAAAAATATACAAGGTGCCGGACTTATTACACTAGTATAGCTGTCGCTCGCGGCAAACCCAGGTACCTCCTAATTACGGATCCGATCCGATGCGACCATTATATTATACTGTATACACTATAGAGACGGCGGATCACTAATTACTATTAAATACGCGAGGAGAAAAGTTTGTTTTTCGACGAAAATCAATGGGATATAAATACAACACACATAAYAACATATCTTTCAATGTGCCTTAATTTAACTATACAAACAACTTGCCCCTCTTTATTACACATCACCATTTAAATTACAGAAATTTTGGTTCTCTAAACCTAATAATGCTTTTAATGTAATAAAATTAATATTCAGACATATTTTAGCATAATATTAATCAACTTCAATGAATTCTGTACTAATAATTTGTATATATTGTTTTAATGTTACGTCATATTAGTTGTAATATTAATATACTATATACAATGTTATAATGTGTTAATTTTAATATATTATTTTTTATATACTGTACAGTGTACAATAATTTTGATCTGGGGTGTAAAACTATAAAATACAATTACTATTATATTTTTATCAATCATAAATACGTAACCAGATCAAGTCTTAACACGCCTTCCAAAATTAAAATTAGCCCTTGAAAAACGTGTGTATGTTAAATAAAAAGAAAAATAGTTGGGCACTTACTTCGGTTGAGATCAGGAGTAGAACTGCTGGTTTTTACAGGAGAACATCGATGGTTTGAACTGACTTTCTGAAATTTAAAAAAAAACACAACATGAACAATTATTGTTTTTTGGTGTACAACGTTGATTTATTCAAAAAACATTTTTACAGCCTTAGAGAATTTCAAGTACAATCTCTTCGGATTAAAAATAACCATGAATAGTACATGTTATTACACTAAATAATCGCCTTTATAATAATGTTAGCCACTGGCGTATGTTACACACGTATTATTTTATATATTAGGTACCTCTAGGCTCTAACGACAATTATATTTTAAAACGTTTAATACRCTAGAACGCACGTCTAGTAAATAGATTAAAGGCATATTAGTAACGGCCGACGGCGATAGGCCCAAGTTCGGTAATATAATACGGTGTATATATAGTAAATAATATACTGTATTTAAATGCGAGACGGGCGAATGCTTAACATCATCATGCTGGGATGGCGCCTAATAATGCTAAAATGCAATGGGCCGTGGCGCCCCTGCGGAGCGCCACAACGCCAATTGTTATCCAATTTTATACCTGGACGCCAATTAAACGAGTCATGTTCTTCATAGTTTTTTTACGAACAATTTTACTGAGTATAATACGAAGAGCACGCCACTTCCCCCTCACCCAATCACACGTCGACATACCCACAAGTGAGTATTCTAAAATTATATATTATTTTAATATTGTGACTCAGTATATATAATATGTAATTCCATAAGTAAGAGTATAGTATAGTATATTATAAAGGCGCTTGATTGCACTATAGGGTCATTATCCTGTATAATTTTTATATCCAAAAAAGGAATTTAATACTTTTTTCTTCTTTGTGTACGTGGGGAGGAGGTGAGACGACGGTATTATAGCTGTAGTGGTCCATCATCTTGCGGACATTGTATATATAGACATATTCTTGGAATTACGCAACGTAACCAGATTACGCCATTACCACCACTGAGAAAATTAAAGTAGCTCGCGCCAATCATCTATACAAGTGCTCGTAATTACTATCAATCATCAAATACTTCTAATGGTACCGGTTATTGTTACTAGTGTACATAATATTATAACCATATACTTAGCATTATTATATTATATGTATAACGTGGTACGGTAAATATAATTTGCTGATCTCGCCCGTCAACAATGATAATAATAACGTCGTAAAAGACTACATAATATAACAAGAACGTGCACCCGAAATATTGCCATTTTAGCTATTGTTGGTTTATCATTATTTATTTTATTCGGTTTTTACTTTTTTATTTGTTTCACTTGAAAATAACCTTTCATTAAATTCCTATTTATATACATACAAATACACACACAATCTCCCTTCCAAATTTTCGTGTGGGTGGTGCAATTCCGAAAACGTTCGCCTGCGATAATAATTTATAGTAATTCCTTGACAGCGGGACACAATACCGAAACCCACTGCAGTTGGTCCGTTTCTCGTCGTAATCCCTGTGCATACAACAAACGAAACAGGTTTCAAACACTTGTAGGGTTGATAATTCCCCGGCATTCTTTATAATAATATAATGTTATGTGTTCTCTCAATACAAACGTATTGAAACCTTCTTCGCCCGTCTTTTTTTTTTCTTTTTTTTTTTTTTGTGACCGCACAAAATATTATTAAACAAGGACCAAGAGGGCACACCACGAATCTCTCAATCCCAGGAGGTGCGCATTTATTGTGTTTACTATTGTGTCAAAGGGTCCCCGGTGATCAAAACGACAACACACAAAAGTAAATCGAAAATTCAGAGAAAAAATATAAATAAATACATTTTCGGCATTTACACACACATATACACACTGAACACTCCGCGGGGGGAGTGCTAGGCGGCGGTGGCCTAATAATAAGACATATAATGCAATATAATATAACATCATATTATGTACAACGATGCGTTTAGTGCATTTTTCATTTTTTTTACAAGTTACGTGTGCCACCGTGGGTGGTTGGGTTACAATCACGGCAAAGTATAGCCGCCGTCCTATGGAAATTCGCTTATTACACACTTTATTATTCTTTAGATAATAACACTACAGATATTTGATATTTCTCCGAATGTCAGGATGTCGGGAAATAGCAGCATGTACTATGTACATATTACACGGCGTATTATTCATAAACTCACATAACTACATAAGCAATAATTTGAATCACGTGTATACTGTATAATATAATACCTACACTAAATGATAAACGCCAAACAGTACTAAATTAGCAACGTTTTTAATTGATCGAAAGAAAAAAAAAAAAGTTTAAATAATACAGGTAAAAATCAACTGCGACGAGAATATTATTTAAATGCACATTGTACGCACACGGTCACAACATAATTACGTGTGCAGTTGCACGTGTCTTCCTTGTTCGCGTAGAGCCCGGTTATTAAAAATAAATTTTTAGTAACGACCTTGTCGGTAGTTGTCGCCTGATTAAGTGTTTATGATTGACGGGGCGTCTAGGTGTTGGTGAGCGTGTTTGTGTTTGTATTTTTGAGCGCTTATACTATATGGCGTATATTATATTATTCCGAACAGTTAATTGAATTCATTACGACGCCGATGGGTAACGCGATACCCGCAGGCACCATAATTAACAGCGTCTCGGTCTAGTGCGCAAAACGTCTACGGAAACAAATAAATCCTCACGCAAACGACGAGAAAGAAGAACACCTAAGAAAGGAAGGAAGAAAAGAATCAGAGAGTGAGAGAGAGACAGAGAGAGAAATAGGAATACAAAGGAAACATAAAATTATCGAATATAATTTTTTTACGCCTAGTTAACGTACGTGTGTGTATGTGTGTATGTATACTCAACAGAGGGCTATTATTATAATCACGGGTTTCAGGACAGAGGCGAGAGGGGCTTAACAATGGTGTAACACCTGTTTTCACCTGTTCGTCATGAAACAACCCCTCGGGATTGTAATTGGACTTGCCACGGATAAGATAAACAATAATCTGGGATTTTGGCAATCGTCAAACTAAAACACCCGCAGTGGGCATTGTTTCTATTCCCGAATCGGTTGGAATTAAAACAAACAAAACCATAAAATAATAATTATATTATTTAGTACCTTTAACAAATAATAATAGGTGTAGGGGTTACCGTTACCAGTTTTCAAATACAAGCAAACGGCCGATCACCATAAAGGTAAAAACCAATGGACAACGAAGTATAATTACTACTATATCATACAGGGTGGCGTTGTTTACCTCAGATTCTGACAAGTCGATCAGGTCGGACTTCTCTTCGGTGACTTTATCGGAAGAACGCTTGACCACGTCTTCGCCGCCGTCCTCGTCCTTGAACACGATCAGCTCGTCCGAGCTGCACGCGTCCTCGCCGGCCGCGCCTCCGTCTTCGCTCGCATGGGGCATCACCTCGGCGGCTCGCGCGGTAGTAACCGCAACGCTCGTAACTGGGGGAGGGGGTTTGTAGAAGAGACAAACGCCAACCACTCGTTCAACAGCGATATCCACGCGGTTAACGGCGGTGGTATTGTGATTTTATTATTATTGAGCTTGGCGACAACCCCCTACCGGTGGTATATCGTCATGACTGAGGGATCGGCGCACCTAT